TTCTTCCTGCAAATATTATTCATAATATAATTATTACATTATGACAATATCTGCGAAAAAAATACATCTAGGCAATAAATGACACTAAACATGTAGACTGTCAGGAAATCCTTTGAATCCTAAAGTAAGTTGTCTATTGCTATTCATATTCAAAATACCTGAAATATCAGCCCAGTGACATAACATGATACTTGAGTTTTTTGGATAGCGGAAACCATGTCTGTATGGTTAACCGACTAAAAACACGTTTTACAAATAAAGATTATTTCTGTTTTTGTTACTGTGCTATCCCGTACACCCAGCTGAAAAGCAGCTTTGCAGAAAAGAGACTGTGAGTCCTGGTGGACATTAATTTGAGCGTGAGTCAGCAGTGTCTACTCAGTACTGGTGAGGCCATACCTGGAATACTGTATTCAGTTCTGGGCCAAAGATACATACTCAAAGATATATACAAGACACAAAGATACATATTTGGAAACATATTCTCACACTTAATGACAAGTCACTATAATCTTGCAAGAGTTTAAGCAAGTCCACATTCTTGTTTTTAAGGAAACATCTATTTGAAGAACAACCACAAAAAAAAAAAAAAAAAAAAAAAAAAAAAAAAAGCAGTTAGACCAAAGACATCAAGAAAATGAATCATGATTCTGGTCAGAACTTCCGTCGTGTAACCTTACAGGCTGTGAAGTGCTGACAACGATCAACGAATCGAAATCTCAAGCTCATACAACGATTGATATGGAGGGAATTTGGAAATTTGCCATGTTGCATGTTAAAACAAACAAAAAAAAATGCAACAAGGTGGTTTTATGGATATTGCCACATGCTTTTAATCAGCTCATGTTTCCTGTAAAGCCATTGTGGCATGAGGTATGGGAAATAATTTTTTACAATTAATTGTTGAGCCAGTGAGTTCTTTATCAATGACAAATTAGGGTGCTTTTAGGTTGTTTCTTAATAGTCTAGAAAAATACCTTAAAAATAAATATTACATATGTGTACCAATTCCACCTTATAAATCCTAGCACTGGTCTCATGATTTTTGTATTTTAACAACATTAAAGCCCTCTAGATCATGGAATTATAATAATAAAAAAAATATGCCTGTCTAGAAGACCCCAGTCAGGATGTAATTATGATGTGAAATCACAACAGCAAAGTAATTGAAATGCATGACTGTGTGGACCTAGTTATGATCATATTAAAATGCTTTCAATAAACATTCACCATCCTGATGAATATTTTGTATCACTGGAATTATGGTTATGTATCTGCAAGGGCTACATATCTATATTAGTTATAAGTATTATAGTCATCACCGTACAGAAGGATTTCAAATTATAGTTTCTATCAGCAATGGGCAAATAATATCATTTTTGTTAAACTGTTGATAAAACGACCATTTTTTCATGCCTTCAATACACTATCGGAAAAAAAAGACTGATTAGCTCTGTTTTTTTCCTAGTTTTGTATTTTAATCTTTTATTGTAGAATTATATCTTTGTTAATATCCTAACACAGAGGCTAGTGTTCTGCTATTATAAAAATAAGAAATGGGGATAACTATCACAGTTTCCATATTTCAGTTATGAGGAGACATTGCTTGCATACCTAAGGCTTCCAGAGTTGTTTCCTTAATTTCGTCAGCAAGTAAAATATTTGCATATACATATATATAACATGAGGGATTTAACAGCTCCTGTACTGAATTTCATTTAATCACTGGTGAATTCATTCCAATATGTTTCAAGACAACATCATAAGAAGTCTAGTGATTTTGGAATCCTCTACTCTTAAGTCACATCTTAACAAACATCGGAAAACCCTCATGGCTACCTGCTACTCATGGGACAATACTCACCATTCTCAGTCACAGACATCCCACCATTCTTACAGCAACTGTTTAAATAAAATGCAATTTTTAGAAAATGTTTCTCCCACCATATTCTGTATTCTGTGTTATAATCTGCACCGACAGAGTAACATTTATCTGTAATTACTTTTTTGGTTTGTTTTCATTTCTCTTCTTTCTCTCTTTGAATTGTTTATAGAGCTCAAAAAAAAAAAAAAATAAAAAAAAAAAAAAATATATATATATATATATAAATATATATGTATTTAATATATATTATATATAATATATATATGTAAGTAGACAAGCTTATGCACCTTCTTTCTGTAAAAAGTAGATCTGAAAACCCACAGGTCCAAGCATGACAAATGTAATGTTTATGAGTTTGTGTAAACAAGCAGTACCAAACAAATTATTTGCATGCAGCCTCTTTAGCCATAACAACTTAGATAATTTAATTTCTTTTAGTGGAATTTCAATCACTGCATTGTACAGATAACTGGAACAGTTTGTTTTTAACAAGAAATTATCAAACGGCAAGGAATTTCTTGAAGCATCCAGACAGGTGAGAACTCAGCACTTATTTCCACTCATGACCTTCTGACATGGAGGAGGTTTTAGAAATATAAATGACGAGTAATTTTTTCCACTGACTGGAAGAGGAGAAACAGTACCCCCATTTTTAAAAAGGGAAAGAAGGAAGACCGGAGAACTACAGGCCAGTCAGTCTCACCTCTGTGCCCAGCAAAATCATGGAGCAGATCCTCCTGGAAAGTGTGCTAAGGCACATGGAAAAAAAGGAGGTGATTGGCGACAGCCAGCATGGCTTCACTAAGAGCATATCATGCCTAACAAATCTGGTGGCCTTCTACAATGGGGCTACAGCATTGGTGGATATGGGGAGAGCAACTGACATCATCTACCTGGACTTGTGCAAAGCACTTGATACTGTCCCCCATGATATCCTTGTCTCTAAGTTGCAGAGACATAGATAAAAAAGATGAATCAATCAGTGGCTGAGAAATTTGCTGGATGGCCAAACTCAAAGAGTTGTGGTCAATGGTTCAATGTCCAGGTGGAAATCAGTAATGAGTGGTGTTCCTCGAGGGTTTGTTTTGGGACCAGCACTGTTTAACATCTTTGTTGGTGATGTGGACAGTGAAACCGAGTGCACCCTCAGCAAGTTTGCCAATGATATCAAGCTGTGTCAACATGCTGGAGGGAAGGGATACCATCCGGAGGGATATGGACAGGCCTGAGAGGTTGGCCACTGCAAACCTCATGAGGTTCAACATGGCCAAGTGCAAGCTCCTGCATCTGGGCCAGGGTAATTCCAAGCACCAATACAGGCTGGGTGGAGAATGTCAATCAAGCATCTCAATCAAATGGATTGAGAGCTGCCCTGAGGAGAAGGACATGGGGGTACTGGTGGGTGAGAAGCTCATCATGAGCCAGCAATGTGCACTTGCAGCCTAGAAAGCCAATGGTATCCTGGGCTGAATCAAAAGAAGTATGGCCAGCAGGGTGAGGGAGGTGATTCTCACCCTCTGCTCTCATGAGACCTGACCTAGAGTCCTGCACCCAGCTCTGGGACCCACAGCACAAGAAGGACATGGATGTATTAGAATGAGTCTAGAGGAGGGCCATGAAAATGGTCAAGCGGGTAGAGCACTACTCCTAGGAAGACAGACTGAAGGAGTTGGAGTTATTCAACCTGGAGAAGAGAAGGCTCCAGGGATAATTTATAATGACTTTAGCAGATGAGGATTTGAGCAACCTGGTGTAGTGGGAGGTGTACCTGCCCACAGCAGAGGGGTTATTAGATGGATTTAGATGATCTTTAAGGTCCTTTCCAACCCAAACTATTCTATGATTCTAATACAATCAACTTTATTTAAACCGATAGGACCAAATTGCAAATATGTCAGGAGTCCAATCTGACATGGGCTTAATTGCCTACCAGGAACGTTTCTGCCAGTTTGTGTTATTTAAAGTTCCGAATCTGCTTTTTTTCACAGTTGACATCTTAGGGTCCTTACAATTGATTGTGAGCCAAGAGGAGAAAAGTGAAGCTTAAGTTAAAATGACAGTGTTGTGAAAGAACCATGAACTGTAAAACTACCAGAAATGAACAGTATACCTGCTATAAGACAAAGGTTCTTAAAAATTTTAGATGAAGATCATCTGTTCTGCAATAGCCTGGGCCTTTTCAGATCCAAATCCCTTGTATGATACATATATTTTATTTTCTGCCATGTCACAACCCCTACGGTATTACCTCCCATTTTCCTAGGGTAAACACTTCTACTTTGTCTCTTCAGTGCTCTGCCCTATGAAAACTTAGCTTTATCTGCTGTACTGAGGCATAATCAGGAAGCACAAGTAGAGACTGACTTGCATTGCTGTTGCTCTCACCAAGGTCCACAAGGCTGGATCAGCTTGCTTCTTCATTATGCCTCCCGAGGGGAAGAGGCAACAGGGTGAGATGCAGCCCTTCCCCACCAACCAACCAGACACAAAATGCGTAACCTATGTGCAGCTTCAGCCATTCGTCCCTCTGGCTTCTGTCTCCATGATTCAAAATAAATCTTATACTTTTTGGAGGGCTAGAGGACAGTCATTAGGAGAAAAGGAAAAAAAAAAATGAGACAAAAGGGAGAAAAAAATCTAGACAGCATTTTCCTTGGATTTCCTGCATTCCCTATATTGTATACCACCTCACCATTGGGAACGCTCCCATACAGTTGTGTGTAATCTATTCTCTATTACACCTGCACAAATCTTGAAGAACTCTAGTAATTCACAGTTTGTGTTTTCTGTTTTGTTTTGTTTTTAATATAATACATCTGGATAACTACTCTTGTAAACAAGAAAAAAAATACCACACCCTTCTGCTCTTAAATTTTATTGTGCAGTCTTCTGCCTCATTGATTTATTTATATGTACTTACTGAAGAAGAAAATGACTGTTTAAAAAATAAAATTATAAGCTTCATATTATCTGTATTAGCTATTAATGTGATATACTGATTTATATTCAATACAAAATATCTGTATATAAGCATTTACATTAATATAATTCATATTTAGGCATACTGTAAGTGACAGTTTTAATAGCACAAACACAGAGCAAAGGTTTCACTCACCAAGCCATCCTGATCCAGAATTGGGTATGCACATGTCTGTTTCAGCACTGGGTAACACAAATCCAACCACAAAAACTTCGACCCCATCAGCCATTAGGGCCATTCCCAAAACAAAGAAGAGTGCCCACTGAAATCGACCATGGCCACATTCTTGTATTATCAGTTCATACTGCTGTGCTAGCTCTTCTTCATCAGCTTTCCTCTCTGTTTCCAGTTCACGACGATCCTTATATTCATCATGCATAGACTGCCCTAAGGCCACCATGCCATCCTTGCCCTGCCCCATATTGGGGATTCCTTGATATTCCCCTTCATAAATTTCATCATCTTCATCATGCCCTTCGGTTGCTTCACTTGACCCTTCATCATCATTAGCTTCTGTGCCATAATTTCCTCCTTGAACATAATAATCATCATCATCTTCCTCGTCCTGGAATCGGTTGTATGACCTCTGTGTGTAGCCGTCCTGAGCTTTGTCAACAGCTTTATTCATTTTTTTCACTGCTTGCCTCTTCACCTCTTTAGCAATATCTTTTGCCCCTTTCACTAAAGAAGTCCTATCTTTGTATGATTCCTCCATCTTGTCTCAAAGAAAGACTGCTGTTCTACTGGAGAAGCACCTGTCAAACACTGTTCAGAAAATCTATTGTGCACTGGACATCAGCAGAAAATGTGAAGCTGTAATATACAACCTGAAAAATATGAGACAAAAAAGAAAAAAAGTTTATACTTAGCCTCTTTTCATTTTCTTCTCACACTGGACACCATACTTCAGTACAAAAACATACAAAAACATAGTACAAAAACATACAAATATACCATGTTACAAGGAAGATACTCTAAAGAAAAATCTAACATACCTACATGTTTTCAGAATAAGATTTATTACATTTTAGTTTTTCAGTGGACACTGGGTTTTGTCCTGAATGAAAACAAGCAATTTCATGAGCCATACTTCACATTGACTCTGTCTCCACTGTTCTTCTTCATTTGAGCTCACTGCTATATAATAAAAGGCTAAAAATATCAGCTTTTCTCTCAGTGAGTTGCTATTAAGTCTCAGAAATACACCCAGCATCCCAAAGTTGATTGAACGTGGCTAATACATTACACTGAGCAATACTTAACAATGTTATTGGTATAACCTCACACTACAGTAAGGGAGATACAAGGAGATAGGTACATTTAAGTGTTGGCTTTTTCACACTTCGGCAATTTCCAGTCCCTAAATCATGGCTGATACATCCCACTCTCCTGTGTCCATAGTGAGAGGCAGTTTGGAGCAATTATACATGTATATCCTCAGCTAATACACCCAACAGTGTTAGTCCAGTATGAGCTCATGCCAATCTACCCGTGTGAAAGCACCAGGATGTTTCATCCTGGCCACCCTTCCTGCTCCCCCGCTGTAGCTTTCCATCTCTTCCTCTGTGTCAGCATTTGTGATCCTGCAGCTACAGAAGCATCCTCCTTACTTGACTGAAGACATAACCATTTCCTTTTTTCTGCTCAGACCTCAGGCATATCAGCAAGGCAATTTGGCTCATCACACATCTGTACAATCACTAGGGGACTGCACAATTGCTAAGGGTAGTAGAAAGAAATAGTGGCAGCGTGCAAGCAGAGGTACGAAAGAAATACAGACTCCTTCTTTGGCAAAGGTCCATAGTTAGAACAGCTGAAATTGATTACAGAACTGTACCATTATTCATGTGTTTGAGGGAAGGGGAGGATGAATCTGGGCACTGCAACAGGGCTGCAGAAGCCTCACCTCTGGGAAAAAGCAGGCATAAATTTCTGTATCAGTGGTTCCAGAAAAACATTGTCTGGTTCCAGCTTGGCGAAGGGGTTATTTTTAACTATGATAATTTTAATGATCCATTTTCCAACATAACCTCAGAAAAAGATGCAGTTGTAATAGTAAATAGGCAGTGGGATGTAAAACAGAAGTAAGAATAAATGGCTGCAGATTTCTGAAGAAAATCCTGTTCCTCCTGAGGTATTGTGGATCTGTCCTGTGAGCTCCATGGGAGCCTTGAGAAGCTTTCATTCAGTTGAAAACACTGTCCCCAGAAGTATATTTCAGACATCAGTTTTCAGACTAATATTGTTTTGAGAGATCAGAATTACATACTGCATCACATAAACTAAGAGTGTGGTGTCCTTTTGTTAGAAGAAAACCAAACTGAAACATCACACAAACATGCAGGTAACATATTTTAAGAAGCCAGAAGATATTTCCCTAGCTTTTTTGATTGCTTGTTTGTTTAACAATGACTGTAGAAATTCATCTATATTAGATAATGTTTTTCTTTTCAGTTTCTTCCTCTAGATTAATTTCAAACAGCCTGAATGTTTGTCAAAGAAATCAGGTGTGGTGGTACTATTCAATTTTTCAAAGCAAACTGGAACATTTACTGGGAAAGAAATGCAGCCTTAAAGAAAAAAACACTATGTAATATTCACAACTGAAAACTGTAGCCTGCTTTTAGGTACATGATGATCCTTCTAAGTAGGTCATCTCACTGAATTGTCTATGCTAAGGCAATTTCTCTAATTGCAGCTTTTCAGTTTTCAAGGTGCTCCTCAGATGTCACAGTCAGTATTGAATTAGACATCTCATCCTATGTGTGGACTGCAGTATCTACTAGGTGTTATTGAACATTCAATGCATAAAAACATTCACTGAGTCTACTGTAGACTCCCACAGATACCACCAAGAATTTAATGAGTTCCTAATAGGTATTCTTCTGAGTGTGAATGATTACAAAGTGTTACTAGATTGTTTTGGTTATTTTGGATTATTTTTGGTCATTTTAGATTATTTTAGGTTGTACAGGTGTAGTATATTTAATGTAAACTCTGAACAACTCTGATTCTTAGATTTTTATTTTTTCAGCAGTTACAGCCTTCTTTTAAAGATTTTCAGCTGATATTGATATTGTCAAATTCAATTTTACCGTAGAGTCTGTCTATGGAGGTAAAACAGTTTAAGTTTACAATAGAAGTAAAGTGCAAATGCCAAAACTGGCAAAACAGTGATTGCGCTTGTACAGTACACCGACCTCATGAGTTCAGCAGACTACACTCTGAAAACACAAATCTTCAAAAGTAATTGAGCTTATTCTGTAGTTTACAATTGAGCAGGTATGTCAATAAGAATTTATACCTGTTCAAACTCATTAACAGCCTAACTCTGCCAGCTAAAAAAATCTATACATAGACTAAGTCAAATTTCTACCTAGCCAGACAGAAAAGACAGACTGAGTGTAAAAATCAAAATTTCTATTTTATCGTTCCAACTTTCCAAGCAGCATATCTTGTTGGAACACTGCTCTTTTAAAGAACTTCGCTTTCTCAATGAACTGAAATCCCTGTCCTAAGGGTGAGAAGTATATAGAGAAATTATTTATAGATCGTGCATGATAGCTCCCCACCCTTTTAATTATGTCAGACTGATTGATTACAAATAAGCATCTGGAAAGTCTGAAAGAGTGAGGATTAACAACTATCTGATAGCATTAAGCAGCTAAAGCATATCTGAGAGCCTAGACAGTCTTGTTAGTATGCACTATCTTACCTAAAAAGCCAGCATGGTTTAACTGAAGACAACATTCCAATTCAATTCCTTTAATTCTAATAATAATGATAATGTTTCTTAGGAAAACAGCGGTTTCAAGTAATACTAGCAAATATTTTTTTTTCAAAACATTCAAAGATACATATACAAACAAAACAAATTATTTGGTTGCTCTATTTTTTTTTTTCATTCTATTTTCATTCTATTATATTGATTAAGTGGTATGGTTACCAGTTGGTACTTATTGTGCTACATCCAATATCAAAAGCTGGGACCAGTTTAGGAGGTGGCTCACTCTTCATTTTATACTTGCTCTGAGTACTCCTCCCTACATTATTTCAATGTTCTAAACATGTTTCAGAGAATATCCTGAACAATGACAGAATGTGGAAAACAGTTTTTATGAGCATCATCATCATTTAAAGAAATAATATAACTATGTGTAATTCAGCTGGCTGTCATTAAATATACTCAGGCTTCTAATCCCCTCTGCTCAACATTTCCATCTAAGGTAAGAGGGTGGATTTAGGATTCATCTATGGTCCACCCTCACTCATTAAGCTGTTTTTGTTCTCACTTTTCACATAGAACTATTTTCTTCATTATTGACAGCAAAGGAATATTTTATCTGCTCTTTCATTGTAATACCAAGCCATTTAACTCCTTAAAACAATTAGTTCAGTTCACCAAGTTTCTTCAGTGATGAAGTTGCACATTGTACCATAGTACTTGAAATGATTATTCAAACCTAGGGAAAAGTGGTGTTTCACTATTTTCAAACTTTTTATTTTAACCAAGCATATTTAAATATAATTTTGCACTTCTCAGACTTCTGCAGTTAAAGAAAATTGTATTTCCTATTTGAGCCAAGAGTTATCTTCCTCCTCATACCTCTCTTGAAAACTCATTTTCTTAATTAGTGCATGCACAAGCCATAATTTTTGTCATTTTCAGGTGTCAGAACTAAGTGAAAACAATCACCCTGCATTTCAGTAGAGAATGGAGAGGAAATAGCAGAAAGCTAGTATACCAACTGAGTTCTGGGATTGGCCCTGGAACAGTTCTTTACATTTCAGGAGAAAATACAAGGTCACAGTCTCAGTTCCACTGCGAAAAACATTTTGAAAAGACTTAGCCTTGTGTGTCCCTCTGCAGGGGTGCATAGCCCCTGAGATGGACACATCTGAGCTCCCAGACTGCCCTCACTTCTGAGTTAACACTATCTGTCAGTTCCATCCATCTCTGTTGCTTGCCCTCATATTGTCCTCCTTGGGAATCAGCTGTTGCTGCCACTACACCATAATAAGAGGGTAATGCATCCTTGGCATAATGTTAATTAATATTTTAACACCTTGTTTTTCTAACCCTTCCAGATATTTTGCAACTCTCTCAATGTGCATATTCTTTTTCATCTTTATTATTGTATGTTACTTTTTATAGTTTGTAACAGAATATAAAAAGTTGGGAAATACATGTAAAATCCTTTTTATGATTTCATAATTCTCATTTCTTGAACATTTTATTTTGCCATATTTTCATCATGGAAGTTACTGAACTCACTACTTTAATTTTATTTCTCTTTCCCAAGCTCAACTTCAGACTGATCACAGAATCACAGAACTGTAGGGGTTGGAAGGGACCTTGAAAGATCATCGGGTCCAACGAACCCCAGAGTCCTGGCTGTGCACATTAACCTGCTCCTCCTTGAATGAAAGGTGTTTGCATTGTCTCTGCCTGGGAAAATAATAATAATAGTATTTTTTTAAAAAGTGATAAGCTCTCTATATAGTTTTCTGTGATTGAAAGCCCATTTCTTTATTGGTATTCATCCAGTATTCTTGCCAAAATATCTCTTAAAAACAGACCAGTAATAAAAGCAAGAATGAAATACTATGCTTTTCTGGTGGGATACTGCTTTACTGCTTCAGCTGTGGGAATCTGAGGAGAAACTGAGCATTCATCAATTTGACCTAAATAATGAGAGGGAAAAAGAGGAAGATTTCCCGCTGTATAGTAAAATTAAATGAGCCTGGATGGAGAGAATGAAATGCTACAGTGAATCTAGGGGGAAAAAAAAAAAAAAAAAAAAAAAAAAAAAAAAAGCCTTCATAC